TATTGCTTTCATATTGCACTTAAGAGTGTTCCTTGAAGATAAGGTTCCTGCCCTCACAAAACTTGTCAGTGTGACAGGAGAACATTTTCATAGTCTAGGCCCAGGCAGCAACTGAGCACCACACAGCCACTCGCTCACTCCTCCCCCTGGGTGGGATGGGAGGAGAAATTATCAGGAAAGGCTCATGGGTCGAGACAGGGACAGGGAGGGGTCACTCACCAGTTATGGTCACGGGCAAAACAGCCTCGACTTGGGGAAGAGAAATCAATTTCATTTGTAACCATAAAAAGAAGCCCCTGAACATACAGCAAGTGCGTTTGGGCCCATTTAGGAATTCCAGGTGGTACCACAGCCCAAAACACACACCCACTTGGATGGCAGTTTAAAAAAAAAAAAAAAAAAAAAGAAGGGTGGGGGTGGGGAGTGGAGTGGGAGAAGCACCACAAACCCAGCTGTTTTTCAGTGTTGTAAGGAATTGATTTTGTTCCTTACCTTAGTTCTCAATGATCATGTTTACTTGATCTGGTTTTGCTTTTGTTTCCAGCCTGTTTGTTTTTTCATTCTCGTGCCCTAGAGCACTTCATTTTTAGCCAGTGCACTGACATCGCTTAAATCAGAGTTAGGATGAAGTCACAAAGTGAACAGTAAGCCAATCTTCTCCAAAATTCATGGGTGGAAACTGCATTCCCAATTGTAGCATAGATTGGTAAATGAATACTGACCAGTGTGAAATTAAATTCACCTTAGCTTAGCTCTTTGTTTTGTTTTGTTTTATCCAGTTAGTTGTTTGTTAGTGTTGATTGCAAACATGTTATTCATGCCTCTATTCCCAAGTATCCAGGCTGTGAATTTCGATGAGTAAAGTGGTTTGGAAAGAAACCAAATCAGTTCACGCAGAGGCCATGCACGTTAGTAGAAAACTACTGAGCATGGATTTTGTATGCATTTTACCCTAAAAAAAGACTGTCTTTATATGTGTGCACGTGTGTATATGTATACATATATACAATTGCATCAATTATATACAATTACATCAGTCTAAAATTTTCAGCAATTTACTGTCTTGCATAAATCTTTACGTTGTTTCACATCATCATATGTATTTTATAAATAATTCCAGGTTTCTTTGTCCTTTGGGGAAAACACAGTTTACTTTCTGAGTAATGGTTTGCAAAGCATACACAGTTCTCTACTGTTTTGGAGTAGAGAATCTAAAAAATAAAGTATTTTTAAATGTTTTCATGCATTCAGTTTGTAAGTTTTTATAAAATAATAATATAAATATCTGTAATTTTATCTAGTCTAGTCTGATAGTATTCTAAATTCATCCTGAGCTAGATGAAATACTCGAACTGCTCAAAACAGAAACTGTTTTCCTGTATACAAGTTCTGTGCAATTAAATTATGGCATACAAACTATACCAATTTAGGATGTGGGGTTAATGTACTGAGGTGGGTGGATCAGAGTAGTGTTTGCCTTCTACTTTCTTCACGAGGAATTTAAGCTTGGTCTGCTCTCCTTTTACCTATGCTCTCTAAGCTTTCTGAGCATCATGTGTAGTTCAGATAATATGGTAACTATGATATGTGTAAGTGCTGTTTAGAGCAGCTCGCTATGATGCAGTGATGTCTTTGAAATACTGTGTCAGGTGTTTTCCCTCTGAAGTATTGTGCATCGCGGTGTGTCGTGTTGGACAGGTTGGTAACTGTCGGTGTGTTACGGTCACCCGGGCTGGGCTGGGCTGGCAGGATATACAGCTCGTTTTGGCCCCGCTGAGGGTTGCTCGGCCTGCACCTTCTTACAGGTACGGAGCTGACCTCTCCGGGCGTGCACCATGCGGACAAGGGTGGGCAGCAGCGGGGGTTTGGTTTCAGCTGAAAAAGTCAGGAGTGCAGGTAGGGCCCCTTTGGTCAGAAATGCAGAAGGTCCTGCAAACTTGCTGTGTTGAAGAGCACGCTGTGAAGAGCGTGCAGTACCATGGCCAAGCCCTGAAGCCTTTCCCAGGTGTGAGGGACTCTTCCACCAGGAGAATCACTTGGTTTCCACCGATTTGTTCTGGTGGGCATGGAAGGCAGCAGTGTTACTGTGCGTTGCGTGTGTGAATGCCTAACTCGATGTGAGCGCAGGCTGTCCTTCGCAGCGAGGTGCAGGCGCAGCTCTGGAGGAAGGATGCAGGCCTGGCGTGCAGTATCCCTGGGTACAAATTGAAATCAGGGAGGTTTAGATTAGATGTCAGGAAGAAATTCTTCACAGAGAGGGTGATGAGGCACTGGGACAGGTTGCCCAGAGAAGCTGTGGATGCTCCATCCCTGGATGTCTTCAAGGCCAGGCTGGAGGTGGCTTTGAGCAACCTGGTCTAGTGGAAGGTGGCCCTGCCCATGGCAGGGGGGGTGGAACTAGATGGGCTTTAAAGTCCCTTCCAACCCAAACCATTCCATGATTCTATGATCCCTCTTCCTCAGCCATGGCATTGGAGTGGGAGAAACCTAGAGTGGCCCAGAGTCAAGGGGCAGGGGTCACCAGGAGGTGACAGGGGCCTCCCCACATGTCAGAGGCCATGTGGCAGAAATTCACTGTTGAGGAGAGAAGGGCTCTCCCTCTCCTCACTTGGTACTAATCATGGAGAACAATGCTGGCTGCTTTGCAAAATATTAGTACTGCTGCACAAAATCTGGGCCTCGGCTTATGGCCGGCTGAGTCAGACTTGTTTACTTCATTGAAGTATTAATCTCTGTCTCTGATTGGCAGTCAACAACTCCAGGCTCCAGGCTTAATAGAATTTCAAACTGGAGATTATGCAGTTTTGCTGAAAATATGAGGCTTCTATCGCACTTTGAGTGATGTATTCTCCCTCACTCCCCTTTGGTCTGTTTTCCAGGGCTGAGGTTAGGATAGATAATTAATTCCTCTCATCCCAAGCCTTTTCTTTTAATTTAAGAATTTTCTTTAACATCTGCCAGAATCTTTGCGTGCACTCCTGAGAGGTTAAGCAATGAAAGAGCCATTAAATTAACTTCAGCCATTATTTTTTTTCAGTAGGATGAAATAGCAGTTCAGTATATCAAACAGTTTCTGTTTTATTTCCTATCATGACAAAAGAAATGTGGGAAGAAGAGCCTGGTTTTCTGGTTGCATGAGAGGATGGTGGGCGAGGAGGCCTGTCTTCTGGTCCTGTGGCTTTACATCTGTGTTAGCGACAGGCAGGGCATGAGGAATGGATCAATGGAGTGAAACACCTATTGCCAAGGGCCTGATGGCCACGCTAGGCAACGGGGGAGAGTTTTAGCTAATATATCGCTTTCCTCATGAATACTTTGCTGTTGCCTGTAAAGCCTTTTGTAAGAACGAAGCCGTGTGCCGCTCTGTCACGCTGCTGTTTGAGGTGTCGTGAAGTCCATCAGTGCTGTCACTGGTGAGTCGCTCCTGGCTGGGGTTCTGATCAATCTCCTGCTAAGCCGTCTACCCAATTCTCCATGCTGTGTACTTGCCACTCCAAGAAACCCATATGTTTTTTTCACAGGCATAACTTCTCCATTTGGAAAACTGTGTATCTTACATTTTTCTAAGAAATACATGAAAACAAATTAGTGCAAAATCTCCTGGAATGGTCTCTCTGGCAAACTGCACGTACACCTGCTGAAGAATCCCAAACAGTAGCAGCAGGATTGAGCTTTATGTGCAAAGGAAAAATGGTCGTGCTTGGAGTGTCTTGAATTAGCGATTCCGTGCAGCTTTTATGATGTTTTTTAAGTGCACCAGCCAGTGAGGCTGAAATGTCACTGCTGCACTGAAAGTTCATATGCCTCCTGCCTTCCTAGTTGTTGTACTTTTGTGTGCATACAGTCTCACTGTTCTTCTAGTAGATTTTAAAGATCCTCAGTCTTTTGCAATTGTATCATATAGCTGTCAATTCACAGGCTTGACAACTTTCCTGCTTTTGGCAACAGACTGTTGCTTTTAGTGCCAATATATTGCCCTACTGGGTTTCAGGACAGATGGTAGTTGGAGCTGCTGAATGTCAGGATGTTCTGGAGAAACTCAAAGGTACATTTATAGATCAACCCTCTTGTACATGCACTGGAAGCCCAGTGCTACAGCTGTGTTGGATCAGCTGTGTGCACGATGGTGGGACTGCGTCTATAAAAACAGTTTGTCTGGGCCACTCCTTGCAGTGCATCATTTATAGACCAACTATATACATATACTGGGTAGGTTGTGTGAGATTTGCCAGTGATATGAGCTGCTCTTTGGTATTATTTCTACTTAAGCATCACTTTAGATTGTAATTTTTCCTAAATTATATATGTAAAGTAGGTATATTTTTCAAACCCAAGAGAAAGTAAGGACCATTTGAACTGGTCATACTGCAGAGTCTGTAGAGTAACTGTTCTTGTCACTTCTGTCTGAATAAAAAAGGTTTTGGAAAATCCACTTTTTACTCTAGTTCAATTTTGGTGTAGCTAGCCAATAAACAATTGCTTGGAGAAGAATTTTGTTGTCACCATACCAGAATGCTATCATGAGAATGTTTAAAAATTCTCAGTATATGCTTGGGATCCGTTTTGTTCATCTAAGCATCAGCTTGAACATTAGTGAACGTTAGAGGCTTCTGTAGTTAGTAGAAAGACCTCTCTCAAGGGAGACTCCTCCCACCCTAAGCTGTGTCTCAAAAATTATTCGTGCAAATAGCCCCTGGCCACTGGCTGTGTCTCCGTGGGGAGCCTGAACAGTTCGTTCAGATGGGTTAAGTCAGCTGCAGATGGTGAAAGCTGTGAAATCAGGCATGGTGAAATTCCAAACTCTTTGCGGAGCATTATGCCTGATGATCGATCTATTCAGCATGATTCTCCTTATTTAAATAGTTATTTCATGTTGTTATTTTTCCGCTGTGTGGGTTACTGCTTTAACAAAAATTGTGGAGAGGGTTCACCGCTGTAGGTACTTCTCAGTGGGTTGTTCACTTCCGTTGTCTTACATGTATTATTTTTGTCTTCTTTAGTCTTCTGGTACCAGTATCACAGTGGATATTGCTGTCATGGGTGAAGCCCATGGGCTCATTACAGACCTTCTGGCAGATCCTTCGCTGCCCCCCAACGTGTGTACTTCGCTGAGAACAGTGAGCAACCTGCTTAATACGCAGTTAACCTTCCAGGCCATCCACAAGCCAAGGGTGAACCCTTTGGTGTCCTTCAGTGAGAACTACGCCTGCTCCGACTCAGAGGAATGCCCGGAAAAAGGAGAGAAACTAGCTATTCCCAAGGTGAGTCCGTGTCTATCATCTTGTATCTTGGCCCTCCCTAAAGGAACAGCACTGGACTAGTAGGAGATGTCACTGGGCTTTTGGCTTGCTTGCTTCAAATTAACATTTTATGCAGTAATCATACTCAGCTGCTAAAGGGCACTTAAGTAGACTGTTGGTTTTGTATTAAGATAATCCCTGTGTATCCTTCAGCTCATGGCCAGGTTAACTTTCATTTGGGCATCTTTAGAAGATGATGTTCAACACAGGATAGCTCACACGGATGATGAGCATATTTCCTCGCAGGTGTTGGTTGGAGCTTAAGAGAGAACTGTTAGGCAGCAGAGCAAGCAAAAGCCTTTCAGCATCCAGACTCACAAGTTTGCCCTGCTACTTCTCACACTCCCTCTCAAAATGGGGAAATTCTCTTCCCACACAAAAGACTTGAGCCACTGCATGTGAGGTGACTGTCCTAGTCAATGAGCGGTTGGGAATTAAGTAGCAATATGAGGGACCTTTTTGCCCACTTTGAAGACTGGAATCTTAACAATTCTGTATAAAGTTCAGTCTCTCCTTCCCTCAGCCCAGCTAGAAGCGTGAAACCTACAGAAGTCAATGAAAAAAGTCTCTATTGATGACCTCCAGGTGCTTTGGATCAAATTTAGGATGTTGTATACCAAGCAAACAAAAAAAACCACTCGCCACAGTACTTGGTATGACAAATATTGTGAGCTTATGAGTAGTCTTGAGAAGAAAAAGAAGACTGAAACAAAAAAAATACATATATCACTGCCTTGACAGATGGCTTTATGAATGTTCAGGAATCCAACAGGAAATAACCAAGTGTTAACCACCCACATTTAGTAAGTGAACAACTAGAAAGAACACATCAGCTTTGAAGTAGTTTGAATTGCAAGATTGTTGCTAATTAGCTGTCCTGCAAGGCTTACATTTCAGTTTTGAAACTAAATGAAAATAATTTTGTATTGCAATTTCCCTTGTAAAATCAAATACAGGCAGAGCACGTCGCATAGGTGAAGGCTTCTAAGTTTTAACAGTTAAAATGGCACAGCCAGCATTCATTCCAGCATTTCCCAGCATCTGAATTGCAGCACTTGTGATTCTTTTTAAAAATATATTCCAGTGTGTTGATAATTATTACCCTGCTTGCCTGTGTAGCAGCTGTGTGTATGAAATGGATGCTCACAGGTTTTTAAGTGCATTTTCCAGTTTATTTTAGTGTACATGTCTATAATGGATGCACTCTGGGCTCTGAGGGGAAAAGTTAAGTGCCATCACATGAGCAAACACACTGAACAGATACCAGTTTGCTGTTGCATAATACCTAGTGAGGAGAAGAGGGATGAGGGATGAATAAATGAGTTAATGCTACAGAGGACTAATTGGATGAAGAATTCACTGACGTAAATGTATTACGGTTCATAGAACTAAGAGTTTGCAGTCCTTTATTTAAGTGTCTAAATATAGATTTAGGGTCTTACCTTAAGTATCTGAAACTGAGGATTTTGGGTAAGGAGGTAGTATTTTAACATTTATCTGTAAGTTGAGCTTCAGAACCACAAGTGTCTTCCATCTCATATCTCTTCAACCCTCTGGCAAAGGCAAAGCTCTCCATCACGGAGACATATTTATTTTAGTTCTTAGCCATAAACACTTCATGAGAAACATCTTACAAAATTATATCATCTGCAACAGCAAATCTGGATCCACAAGGACTTTCTATCATCATCTTTTATTATCTCTACCTTCAAAAATTCAGAAAAAAACCATGATTCCTGTTCGTGGAGGAAAAAAAGAGTCAGGTGAAATAAAAATGCAGGGTGGTCAAGAAAAATCTGCTCTAAATAGTGCTGCTTTTCAGAAAACATCAGGTCTCAGACCATGAAAGTTTTATTTTAGTGGATGATCTTTGGATTGGGTAGATACAGCAGGGGAAAAAAGTTGGAGCTCCTCTCCCTTATTTTTCTTACAGCCTTTCTGGCCATGAATCTCTGATTCTGGCATTCATGACAGTTTAAATCTCAGAACAGTTGAAAGTACATCTAGAGATCATGCAGTCCAGTCCTTCAGCTCAAGTCCCTCAACCAAGTTGAGCCTGGAGCATTTTTTTTTTAAGTTTAACCTAGAGCTGGTTGCTCAGGAAGATGTCCAGTTGGGTTTTCAGTATCTCCATTAATACACCACAGTCTGTCTGGGCAACGTCTTTTAATCATGTTTAATCATCCTCAGAGTAAAAAATATTTTCTTACATTTAAATGGAATTTCTTGTATTTCTTGTGTCCCGTTGCCTGTTGTCCTGTTCACTAAACACCACTGGAGAGAGCCTGGGTCCATCTTCTTTACTCCCTCCCTTCAGGTATTTATATACATTGTTAGAATCTCCTCTGAGCCTTCCCTTCTTCAAGATGAGCAATCCCAGATCTCTCGGCCTTTCCCGTATGACAGATGTTCCAACCCAAGGGTATTGTGGCCTTGATCACTTATTTGAGTGCTTTTGGCCACATCACATAGGACCAAAATTTTTTAAAGTGCACAACCAATATTGGCTGACTCCGGTGAGAGCTCCAAGTGTTGAACATATGGGGCTATGGGGTTGTGGATACATATGTTTTTTTTAAACCTGAAAGAGGTAGGATGGTCCAGATCCTCCAAGCATTTAAAGCACTGACTGTGTTGACTTGAATAGAAAGTAGGCACCATGATACCTGGGAGAATCAAAATTTCAAGTACCTCACTAGGTGTCAGGCAAAGTTAATTGAATGGAAATATTTTTCTCTGCATGGATAAAGTTTTTTAAACCTATATAAACTCTAAGCATCTGATTTCTCTTCAGCGCTTGCGGAGAAGTTTGCCTCCAGGACTGCTCAGACGAGTGTCCTCAACTTGGACCACAACAACATCAGCCACAGGATTACCTACACTGGAGCCAGCTCCAGTGAGAAGGGATCGCAGTGCCAGCATCAAACCTCATGAATCATCTTCATCCAGGTTGCAAATTACCTCCTCTCTCTTTTGTATCTCTCTCTGAGCAAATTTCTTTGGTTCTGTGTGATAATGTCCCTCATTTTAAAATGCAGACTCCAAGGTGTGTTAGAACCCTTTCTTCAGGTTTCTTTAAATTGGGTTGCCAAAGAAGTGGCATTCCCAATTTTAGTCAGATTTTGCCCAAACTATTCCTGTTATTGTGAAGTAAACTACTTCTTATTTTTAAAATTTTATTTTATGCTAGCAAAGTGCAGAATTGCACAATAAAATGGGAAACGAGGCAAGTTATCTGGTTAAAGTCTTCTAGATATGCAGCAGCTTCCTCCATGGTTATTGCCCAGCCAAGAAAAAATTCTAACAAGTAACCCAGCTGCTGAACATCACTTCTAAGAACACATCTAGTCATGTGCTCCTGTCATCAAACCAGTTCCTGAAGCACTTCTCCAGCCTCTAGATGCTAACTTCCAGAACACAAACCCTGATTTTTAATGGACCCTCTTAAAATATTTTGTGGTTTTCTGTCCATAGAAATGCAGTATCGTCAGACCACACGGCACTGTACGTGCCCTGCATCCCATGTACACGCTTAGTGCCAGAATGTAAGGAGTGCTTAGGGTTCCCTGAATGAACTCCTGCAAATGCAACAATCGTAA